AAGAATCGCTTGCAACTGTTGAAGGAGGACCCTCAGTGAAGCCAACAACGGCAGGACCCATTGAAGCTAGCGGAGAGGAACCAGCAGTGACTAACATAGTACCTATCGTTGCAGCCAACGTCGACCAGGTGGCGACCACAGCTACAGAAGAGACCAGCGAACCAATTTCTACAACGACATCCGGGGCTGAAACATCTGTTACTCCCTCTACAACATCATTGCAAGAATCGCTTGCAACTGTTGAAGGAGGACCCTCAGTGAAGCCAACAACGGCAGGACCCATTGAAGCTAGCGGAGAGGAACCAGCAGTGACTAACATAGTACCTATCGTTGCAGCCAACGTCGACCAGGTGGCGACCACAGCTACAGAAGAGACCAGCGAACCAATTTCTACAACACCATCCGGGGCTGAAACATCTGTTACTCCCTCTACAACATCACTGCCGGAATCGCTTGCAACTGTTGAAGGAGGACCCTCAGTGGAAGCCAACAACGGCAGGACCCATTGAAGCTAGCGGAGAGGAACCAGCAGTGACTAACAAAGTACCTATCGTTGCAGCCAACGTCGACCAGGTAGCGACCACAGCTGCAGAAGAGACCAGCGAACCAACTTCTACAACACCATCCGGGGCTGAAACATCTGTTACTCCCTCTACAACATCATTGCCGGAATCGCTTGCAACTGTTGAAGGAGGACCCTCAGTGGAAGCCAACAACGGCAGGACCCATTGAAGCTAGCGGAGAGGAACCAGCAGTGAGTAACAAAGTACCTATCGTTGCAGCCAACGTCGACCAGGTAGCGACCACAGCTGCAGAAGGAGCCAGCGAAGCAACTTCCACAACACCATCCGGGGCTGAAACATCTGTCACTCCCTCTGCAACATCACTGCCTGAATCCCATGCAACTGTTGAAGGAGGACCCTCAGTGGAGCCAACAACGGCAGGACCCATTGAAGCTAGCGGAGAGGAACCAGCAGTGAGTAACAAAGTACCTATCGTTGCAGCCAACGTCGACCAGGTAGCGACCACAGCTGCAGAAGGAGCCAGCGAAGCAACTTCCACAACACCATCCGGGGCTGAAACATCTGTCACTCCCTCTGCAACATCATTGCCGGAATCGCCTGCAACTGAAGCAGGAGAAGGAACGACGGTTGAAGGAGGACCCTCAGTGGAGCCAACAACGGCAGGACCCATTGAAGCTAGCGGAGAGGAACCAGCAGTGAGTAACAAAGTACCTATCGTTGCAGCCAACGTCGACCAGGTAGCGACCACAGCTGCAGAAGGAGCCAGCGAAGCAACTTCCACAACACCATCCGGGGCTGAAACATCTGTCACTCCCTCTGCAACATCACTGCCTGAATCCCATGCAACTGTTGAAGGAGGACCCTCAGTGGAGCCAACAACGGCAGGACCCATTGAAGCTAGCGGAGAGGAACCAGCAGTGAGTAACAAAGTACCTATCGTTGCAGCCAACGTCGACCAGGTAGCGACCACAGCTGCAGAAGGAGCCAGCGAAGCAACTTCCACAACACCATTTGTGGCTGGAGAATCTGTCACTCCCTCTGCAACAACACTGCCTGAATCCCATGCAACTGTTGAAGGAGGACCCTCAGTGGAGCCAACAACGGCAGGACCCATTGAAGCTAGCGGAGAGGAACCAGCAGTGAGTAACAAAGTACCTATCGTTGCAGCCAACACAGATGTGGAGACGACAACAGCTGCAGTAGCGGCCAGCGAAGCAAGCTACCGCAGTTGCTCTAGAAACTGTGCCAGGAGCCATTACAACTTTGGCAGAATCTGCCACGTCTTCCTCCACGTCCGTACCTGCTTCCTTTGTGACTGAAGCGGCTGAAACAACGTCCTTCCGCGGGCTTGAGGGAGAGCCAGAGGTAACGAAGTCAACTGAGGCCAGCGGAGAAGAACCACTGAGTGGCAGCAGAGCGCCAAACATCGAAGCAAGTATTGACGAATCCACAACACTGGTTCCCGAGGAATCAGGGTTAAGCCACGAAGTCAATGCAGAAACAACTCCAGCTGAAGGAGAGAAGAGTGTTACCTCAACGACGGTTTCTGAGGGTAGTGGAGAGGAACAAGTAGAGACCATGAAGGTGTCAAATGTAGAAGCAGAACAGGGCAAAGGAAGTAGGCTTCTGTAGCAACATCTCCGATTGTTCCAAGTACGACCCCTCAGTCTGCTGAAGAGTCCGAAGAACCAACTGTTGGGGGAGAACCTGGACGGAAGTACTACTGTTGTAAGTATCTTGTCGAAGTCAACAGAATCTGTGGAAACATTCAAGAGTGAGCCGTCCTTCGTTACTTCCCCATCAGGCGAAACTGGCTCACCAACGTTATCTGAGCTTTACACGTCTACAAGTAGTTCTTTAGGTATGGTTTTTTTAGACTTCAATAGGCGGGAGTATTTGAAAAAAATTCAGGAGTTACCACTATCAGTCAATCAAAGTTAAATGAAACGGCGCTGGAAGACGATGAAGACGATTCCATTATCAACCCTACGATTCTTGAGCAGCCACACAAGGCTGATCTACCGGTGAATGTGGGTTTCGTACCAGGTTCTGAACCTGAGGCTGTTCATGAAAGTGGAGAACAAGAAGAAGAGGAGACCGAGAAGACGGTAAATTTTCTTTGGTGATTCAGTTGATGTTCGTCAATTGGTAAAAGATACATTTTTATATTGTTAAGGGTGCTACCAAAGAGCCAGATTACGAGGATGCTATCAAAGCCAAGACTTTGGCTTCGGAACCTACAACTGAGGGAACACCAAGTAAGAAAGTTCGAAACTTTGAATTCAAAATTTGTTTTACTAGTTAGAGGTGTTATGTTGCAGATCAGAGCACCTCTACTGAACCACCTGTCCAATTAGTCAAAGATTTGATCGATGCTCTAGCTGGAGGTGGTCTTAATGCTGTTTTGGGGACTCCACGACCTCCCCTCACAGAAGAAGAGGCAGACAGAAGGCTCGGTATGAGAACAGTACCTTTCTTGACAAAATATCAAAGATGAATATTTCACGTTCTAGTTCCTTTCCAAAAAAAGAATAGGAATAGCCTCCGCAATGCCACTTGGCCTTCGGAATGAGTGTTCGAGGGTGATTATTTTTTTGTGAAACAAGAAACAGAGAGAAAATGGGAGATTAGAATAGGTACAAGTGGAATACCAGAAGCTCCTGTCTCTTCTCGATATCACTGTTATGGCAGCGTTCAGACTTCGTGATGACGCGCCAGCATTGCGACAACGTTCCAATGCCATAAAAGGGAACGCAGCCACAGACGGGTAGCGATCGGCGCCGGCAGTTACTTAGAAAGTATGGGAGAACAGTAGCGCTAGTTTTGGCTTATGACACTGTCTGATATCGATCTGGTCGCTAGTGTTTTGGGAGAGTGTAGAAGATCAGGTTGGTACCAGACTGTGTTCTCACAACGGGTTTTTCTAATATACTCTTTCAAAACATTGGTGGCCCTCGCCGATCGATACCCGTCCACGCCTGCGTTCCGTCTACACTAGTGGGGCGCTGTTGCAATGATAGTGCGTTAGGCAGCGGTCAGACATCGCGATGACGAGCTACAAATGCAACAGCTCTCCGATCCTATTTACGCAACGCAGCCGCAAACGGGAATTTGGTGGCCGGTGCCGATCGATACAAGACCGCGCGATTGAGCCTTCCCCCATACTTGCTCAATACATCTCAATACATGAGGCAGAGTTCAGACTTCGCGACGACAGCGCCTTGGTAGCACGATTCGACGATCTACAGGGGGGGGGGCAAAAAAAGACATTTCGACACATATCAGCAAAGTTTTCGCAGCCCAGACAGAGGACGTGGATACGAGTACCAGGGCGGAAGATACCCAAGATGTTCCTCTATAAGCAGGAGCTGGCTCTCGCCCATCACCTTCATGTACACCAAAATATGAAGTCATCTCCAGCCGCAGACTGGAGAAGACCTTTGGAATTCATGTCACCTCCGAACAGCTGCGAAACTTCTAGTATGGAGTCACCCATAAATAGCTACCTGGAGAGCAGTACTCTCGATCTGGAAGACCTCCATCATCGAGCAGCTCCGTCAACGTCGCTACGGTCTAGGACATCATCTTCACCTCAGTCGCCAAGGCGCCAGTTGATGGTGGGGACCGGACGTACCTGGAATGGAGAGACCGATATTTTCTTCGTGGGCCCCGGACTAAAGGTGAGCGCTGGCGGTTACATTGGGCAACTCGTGAAGAATATCCTCCTCACATGTGGTCGCCCGTACCTTCTTGGAAACTTTGTACTGCTACAGCATTGGGTGCCACCACATGGAATCGAAAAACTCTTGCCTACTTGGAATGGAAGGGCGTTGAGTACCTGAAGAAGGTGGAATATCTAAGCAGGTAACCTGACCTAAACCCCCTCAATTACCTGGTTCGGGCGGAGTTCAATAGGGTGGTCTACAGTGGCGGAGAAATCAACGATCTCGCTGAACTCACGCACCCACTGACGGTCGCGTGGCAGAATCTCTCGATGGCGCTCCTCCAGAAGGCTGTGGCGGAGTATCATGATAGTATTTAATATGCTCTTTAATATGGTGGTAGAAATGTCCGATAATTTAATAAAGTGTAACTTATAGCGCCTCGAAAGTCGAGGAAGAAAAGTCTTTTTTTGCCCCCCCCCCTGTATGTGTATGCCTTCAAGTGCATCGATCGTTGAACCGAAGCGAAACCGACCGCTGCCGTCGCGAGACCGAAGCGCTGCCGTCGCGAAGTCTGAACGCTGCCTGAACAAGAGGCGCCAATTGATTTCCCTCTGCGACTGTGTTTGCGTGCGTACAGCCTTGGACGCTGTTGCAAATCTAGCGCGTTGCAGCGCGTCGTCGCAGAGTCTGAGTGTTGCCTTATATCATAGCTGGTGATCGCCGTGAATTGCCGGTTGTATTGTGTGATAGCAATGACAACCGAAACGCGAGTTTCCCAAAAATCACTCATGAGAGGCTGTACGCCAAAAAGCTGCAGGACGTCAAAAAATTTCGGTTTTTGACATGTTTTGGTATGGTGCACACCTTTCACCTCGAACTTTACGGTCTCAAACACACGTTAGGTTTGCCTTCGAGCTATGCTACTTCTGTCCTCACGGAAGACCCAAGTCCTGAGAAAGACAATGCACCTTACTCCAAGCCATATGAGTGGACCA